GAACTTTTGTACTACAGAAGTGTACCCTACCCTAACACTACCTAACCCTAACTAACTCTAACGCTAACCCAAACATACCTCATATAAAAATATAAACATAATACTAAACAACCTAAAACTACCTCGGGTACAATCTGTAATACCTGTTACGACAACGACCCTTCGGCCGCTAGTGATAGTATAACTCTCTTCTTCTTGGTTTCATCCAGTGCTACAAGTAAGAGTCTGGGGTGTGTCACCGCGGGCCTTTTTAGCCCCCAGTCGAATGGTTTTGCGTAATTACTACATCGATCGTTCACTTTTAGTGTTTCCGATGATTTTCTTGATAACCTTTTTTGTCATCTTCCTTCCTCCTATTTGGGTCAAAACTTTTACACTCCTCAATGCCAGTGACTATTAGATTGGTGAAATTGGTTCACTACCAAAGATATATTATTACATATACACAAAAAGCATGACTAGCACACTTATTACCTCTGCCAACGGAGTTGGGAGGAGGTAATTTTTTGCTCTCGTGCGTTCGTGTGTTCGCGCGATCGATATTAGCGCGGCGGGTCGATCGATATGACCCAGCGAGCCAGCCACCGCCAGCGACACAGCCGAGCGTGTACATGTGAGCGAGCAGCAGCAACGACGGCTGCTACAAGCAAGCGAGCAGCAAGCCAGCGTGTCGCAGCAGGATGTGCGCTGCGCGGAGGTATGCACTCTCCGTGAGTGCCCTCTGTCTAGTTTACATTCACATTGTGGTCCTTGTTTTGCTATGCGTTGATGTAACAATGACACTAACTACTATCAGTATCAGTTAGTTATTGGAAGTCTATGCCTCAAGCAATTACATCCTCGGTATACTCCCTAACCCTATGTGAGTATTATTAGATAGTACTACTACTACTAGACATTAAAACAGTAGACTAGAGAAAGTGTGAGCTGCTGATCACGTACCTGGCGGTGCTGGACAGCATATTCCACTGTCAGTGTCACCACTTTCTGTTGTCACATTATGGATACAAACGCGTGGAAATTGAGCGCTGACAAGGCATGCAACAGATGCTACGACAAACACAACCAACTGTTGACGGTAGTTACCCATTTGTACATGCATGTATATAATCACGACCAGTAATACCTAGGCTAAGTTAAACTACCTACGTCCATGCGACAACAACTCAAGTTTGATCAAGACATTGCACCTGACAAGACGGTGCTGCCCTCATAAAGTAAATGTTGTATGTTATATAAAATAATTACCCCACAAGTACACGGTTTCTAAGTAGTAATTTAAAATATTAAAATACACACAGTTGGTTTAGATTGCATATGACTGTGATTTCAATATATGACTGATATTTAATACTAATCTTCTAGTATTGTTTGGTGGATTATATGTATTTGCTGACACAATCATTATGTCGCGAAGTTGGTTTTTCGTGTTACCCATCCAAAAATGGCGGTCGTGGAAGAATTTAGCCGTGTAATATGTTAAAGACAAAGTTACCAGTTTCTTCTAGATGTGGCGTAGTCGAGGTACGTTTTTCTATGATTTTAGCCTGTAATGTGAGTATAAAATATTCGACAATTATACTAGGTTATGTCTTGATATTTCTGTGTCATAATCAGTGCATGTAGGCACATCGTATTTTCCTGCCTCGCGCGCTTTTGCAGGCACGTCATTGGCGCGCCCCAACGGCATCCGAAAGTACGTCGCCATTTTGGTAAGAGACGAACAATGAGTGTTATATTATATCAATACTGCGTTTGTAGCCAACGTACGCAGCCAGCCAGAATAATGTTTGGAGTATTTATTTAAATAATTTTATTTAATGTTAGAATGTTAGTTGATGTTGCTGTCAACCATCACACTGACTGAGTGACTCTGAAATTCTTAATTTCTAGGCTGGAAAAACTTGGCATGGATTAGTTACGCGCTGAGAGGGTCTATGTTCCCCAGTTACTGCCAGAACGTACCCTGGTACTATCTAATAATATGCCGGACCGTACCTCGCCTACTCCACTAACGAGTCTAGGGAGTCGCCTACGCCTACTCCCTAAACCTAACCCAACCGGTAACCCTAACCATATCAAATAGTTACCAGGTTACGTTACGGTATACCGGACCGTACCCAGAGTACCATTCCGGCAGTACCTGGGGGACATAGACCCTATGAGCATAGTTACATCTGTGTGTGCCTATTTTTTCACATTGAAATTCCTATTTTTCTATTTTTTGAGCGTCCCTTGTCACTTGACGCCCTGGCGTATGACCCGGCCAAGGGTATGGCCTGTGGTGCAGGCTGTATGTCTGGTAGTTTTTTCACCGGCACTACAAACTATCATTTGGAAACTGTTAAAGTGCATGATGCTTCCGAGGGGCACATAAAGATCATAGCAAAAATAAATGCAACGACCATGTCTGTTCACGGAACAGTGGGGGCAAAAACACTAACTTTAATCAACAAGGCCATAATAGCAAAACTGAATATCCTAATTAGAAATGCACATGCTATTGGAAAAAAACGGCAGGCCGTACACCGATTACGTCAAGCTGTGCCAGCTTGACAAGACCAAGTTGTTAGATGTCGGCAGCACTTACCTTACCGACAAGGCCTGCCAGAGGTTCATTACGGCGATAGCCGATACAAGGCGCCGGGAACAACATTTATTTTCTTATGATCCATATCAAAGAACTTTACGTATATTTTATACAATTGAATGTCTTTTACACAGCAGCAGCAGGGATGAAGTGCGCCCTGTCTCATGCTATCAGCCTGTCCCGCAGTACTGACCCGACATAACATTGTTACCTCTCTGCAGTAACCTAACAGCAGCAGCGGCAGCAGCAGCAGCAGAGATGAAGTGTGCTCTATGCGGCGAGGAGTTTGCCGAGGTGCTGCGGCTCGCGCACCACGTGCAGGAGCACCGCAGCAAGCCACACCAGTGCCGCGAGTGCAGCCGCATGTTCGCGCAGGAGTCGCACCTGCGCTCGCACGCGCTCACCAAGCACGGCAAGAAGGCGACCAAGTGCCCGCAGTGCGACCGCAAGGAGGACAACATGCTGATGCTGCGCAACCACCTCGCGAAGGAGCACGGCGCCGAGCAGGTCGACCGCTACCACTGGTGCTTCAGCTGCAACCTGCTCTTCCTGACTCTCGCCGAGTGGACGGCGCACACGGACGGCGTCCACCAGGGCGTGCGGCCAGGCAAGAAGTACCGCGACCGGCGCGCGCGGCGTCGCTACACGCCCGGGGAGAATCTAACCCTAAACATACCTCATATAAAAATATAAACATAATACTAAACAACCTAAAACTACCTCGGGTACATATCTGTAATACCTGTTACGACAACGACCCTTCGTGCGCTAGTGATAGTATAACTCTCTTCTTCTTGGTATCATCCAGTGCTACAAGTAAGAGTCTGGGTGTGTCACCCGGGGCCTTTTTAGCCCCCAGTCGAATGGTTTTGGTAATTACTACATCGTTCACTTTTAGTGTTTCCATGATTTTCTTGATAACCTTTTTGTCATCTTCCTTCCTCCTATTTGGGTCAAAACTTTTACACTCCTCAATGCCAGTGACTATTAGGATTGGTGAAATTGGTTCACTACCAAAGATATATTATTACATATACACAAAAAGCATGACTAGCACACTTATTACCTCTGCCAACGGAGTTGGGAGGAGGTAATGTTTTTGCTCTCGTGCGTTCGTGTGTTCGCGCGATCGATATTAGCGCGGCGGTCGATCGATATGACCCAGCGAGCCAGCCACCGCAGCGACACAGCGAGCGTGTACATGTGAGCGAGCAGCAGCAACGAGCGGCTGCTACAAGCAAGCGAGCAGCAAGCCAGCGTGTCGCAGCAGTATGTCGCTGGCGGAGGTATGCACTCTCCGTGAGTGCCCTCTGTCTAGTTTACATTCACATTGTGGTCCTTGTTTTGCTATGCCTTGAATGTAACAATGACACTAACTACTATCAGTATCAGTTAGTTATTGGAAGTCTATGCTCCAAGCAATTACATCCTCGGTACTCCCTAACCCTATGTGAGTATTATTAGATAGTACTTAGCTACTACTACTAGACATTAAAACAGTAGACTAGAGAAGTGTGAGCTGCTGATCACGTACCTGGCGGTGCTGGACAGCATATTCCACTGTCAGTGTCACCACTTTCTGTTGTCACATTATGGATACAAACGCGTGGAAATTGAGCGCTGACAAGGCATGCAACAGATGCTACGACAACACAAACCAACTGTTGACGGTAGTTACCCATTTGTACATGCATGTATATAATCACGACCAGTAATACCTAGGCTAAGTTAAACTACCTACGTCCATGCGACAACAACTCAAGTTTGATCAAAGACATTGCACCTGACAAGACGGTGCTGCCCTCATAAAGTAAATGTTGTAGTGTTATATAAAATAATTTACCCCACAAGTACACGGTTTCTAAGTAGTAATTTTAAAATATTAAAATACACACAGTTGGTTTAGATTGCATATGACTGTGATTTCAATATATGACTGATATTTAATACTAATCTTCTAGTATTGTTTGGTGGATTATATGTATTTGTGACACAATCATTATGTCGGAAGTTGGTTTTTCGTGTTACCCATCCAAAAATGGCGGTCGTGGAAGAATTTAGCGTGTAATATGTTAAAGAACAAAGTTACCAGTTTCTTCTAGATGTGGCGTAGTCGAGGTACGTTTTTCTATGATTTTAGCCTGTAATGTGAGTATAAATATATTCGACAATTATACTAGGTTATGTCTTGATATTTCTGTGTCATAATCGAGTGCATGTAGGCACATCGTATTTTCCTGCCTCGCGGCTTTTGCAGGCACGTCATTGGCGCGCCCCAACGGCATCCGAAAGTACGTCGCCATTTTGGTAAGAGACGAACAATGAGTGTTATATTATTATCAATACTGCGTTTGTAGCCAACGTACGCAGCCAGCCAGAATAATGTTTGGAGTATTTTATTTAAATAATTTTATTTAATGTTAGAATGTTAGTTGATGTTGCTGTCAATCCATCACACTGACTGAGTGACTCTGAAATTCTAATTTCTAGGCTGGAAAAACTTGGCATGGATTAGTTACGCTGAGAGGGTCTATGTTCCCCAGGTTACTGCCAGAACGTACCCTGGTACTATCTAATAATATGCCGGACCGTACCTCGCCTACTCCACTAACGAGTCTAGGGAGTCGCCTACGCCTACTCCCTAAACCTAACCCTAACCGGTAACCCTAACCATATTAAATAGTTACCAGGTTACGTTACGGTATACCGGACCGTACCCAGGGTACCATTCCGGCAGTACCCTGGGGGACATAGACCCTATGAGCATTAGTTACTAGCCATGGTACAGTACATCACAGTACTGTGACAGTGTATTCTGTTTAGTCAGCCACTCGTAGTTGTATATTAATTAGTATACTATCTAGCTAACACTAACACTGACACTGGCAGAAACACTAACACTATCATTAACAGGTGTCATGGAGTGATGATCATCGTACATAATAACTAATTAAATTACTATGTACATGCCTAGTAGTAGTAGTTAATTTAGTAATTTTCATGCATATCTAGTTTTGTTGTAGTGTGCCTGTGTTTGCGAAAGATTAGAAATACATTCGTAATTTGAGAAAACGTTATAAACGTAGGCCTAGCAGGAGGTGTATTAATCAATTTTATTTTGTTTATTTTTATTTGGAAAAAAAACAATGTCTTACAAGCATTCTTAACTACTGACAACATTTATTTTTTTAAACATTGTCTGATATACACAGATTAGTGGATGATATCAACAGTTATTTGTAATAAAAAAATCTTAAAGGAGACTGGTAGCAACATAATTATGCATTTATAATTAGGCTTTATCTTAGATAAATTATAATCATTAAATTACGTGTGAACAAATTTAACTAGCAATAATCCTCACAGGAGATAGGCACCGTAACAAAAAGTCCGAAATTTTTTTCTCCAAAATTGGATTACCACGTTGAAGCCTACTATATCTTATAATCTCTCTCTTCGACTTCTAGTTCTAACTTCCACCAAATCCTTGAAGCAGGGTTTGACACTAACGCTAGTCTGTTAGTCCGAGACTAATAAAAAATAAGAAGGACTAGTAAATGCCCCATAGCCGTTTGTCTTGCGGACTAGTTATTTTCCCCGTCCTTCACCGTCCCGATTTACCATCCTCTCATTGATTTTACTATAGTCCCCCGGCGGCAGCTTCTCTCAACCAAGATCCAAAGAGCTATATATAACTCATTGCCATCAACAAGTTTTCCGTGTTAGACGCGCTAGTACAAGTAGTCGCTAGCACGCTCTGCATGCTAGACCCTATGACAGTACAAACATTGTTAAACAATGGGGCCACGAACCAGTCTACCCTATTTTCCCCTATTTCCTATTTCTCTATTTTTCCCTATTTTCTGGGCAATTCCTATTTTCTCCTTTTTCCGGACAAATTCCTATTTTTAAGGGCTTTTCATTTTTCTGAATCCAGAATTGTATGTATCCTTCTCAGAATTCAGGAATTTACATTTCAGGTGACCCAATTTTCAAAAATTTCCTGGGGGAGGACTCCAGACCCCCACCCCTTACTTTAAATTAACGTAATATACTCTTTACTATCACAGATTTTATTTCAGTAAAGTTGTTTCTCAGTTGGATGTGGTATGTGTATCCAGAGGGGGGGTCCAGGGAGTCTGGACCCCCCCTTTTTTTACCCCAAAAAGGGAAAACACATAAAAGATAATTTTCTGCTTAAAAATTTGGAATTCCATCTTGCATTCTAGACATCAAAATTACTGCTCAGATGCTCTCAGAATGCACCAATTTTTAAAATTTTTCTTGGGGAGGTCCCCCTAACCCCCCCTCCCCCTAAGTGTCAACGTGCCTTAGACACGGCGCATAAGCTGCCTTCGGCACCTTTTTATAAAAGTGCCCTTGATTTCTTACTGGACCCCACCTTTTTCAAAAAGCCAGATTCGCCCATGTATACATGTACGTCATACTTTTTTGGAGTAGTCTACATGTATAGGTGCTTATGCATGTATAAACTGCTTATCAATTTTAACATGCATTTCTCATTAAAACCTCAAAATATTGTTCGCATGTGATGTAACTCCAAATGCAAATAGATATATTATAAAACCGGTTTGTGGTGATCGCGGATGGCTGTAGGGGTGTTGGGAGCCTTCTAACGCAACAAATATTCACTATTGTAACAATGTATTTTCTCACCAAAATTCCTGATTTTTCTCCTATTTTTTCACATTGAAATTCCTATTTTTCTTTTTTTTGAGCGTCCCTTGCTCACTTGACGCCTTGCGTATGACCGCCAAGGGTATGGCCTGTGGTGCAGGCTGTATGTCTGGTAGTTTTTTCCACCGGCTACAAACTCTCATTTAGAACTGTTAAAGTGCATGATGCTTCCGAAGGGGCACAATAAAGATCATAGCAAAAATAAATGCACACGACCATGTCTGTTCACGGAACAGTGGGGGCAAAAACACTAACTTTAATCAACAAGCCATAATAGCAAAATTGAATATCCTAATTAGAAATGCACATGCTATTGGAAAAAACGGCAGGCCGTACACCGATTTACGTAAACTGTGCCAGCTTGACAAGACCAAGTTGTTAGATTCGGCAGCACTTACCTTACCGACAAGGCCTGCCAGAGGTTCATTACGGCGATAGCCGATACAAGGCGCCGGAACAAACATTTATTTTCTATGATCCATATCAAAGAACTTTACGTATATTTTATACAAATTGATGTCTTTTACACAGCAGCAGCAGGATGAAGTCGCGGCCCTGTCTCATCTAATCAGCCTGTCACCGCATACTGAACCGACAAACATTTGTTACGCTCTCTGCAGTAACCTACAGCAGGCAAGCGGCAGCAGCAGCAGCAAGAGATGAAAGTGTGCTGCTATGCGGCGGGAGTTTGCCGAGGTGCTGCGGCTCGCGCACCAACGTGGCAGCGAGCACCGCACAAGCCACACCATGCGCGGCAGTGCAAGCCGCATAGTGGGTCGCGCAGGAGTCGCGCACCTGCGCTGCTAGCGCTCACAACAGAGGCAAAGAAGCCGACCGAAGTTGGCCCCCAGTGCCGACCGCAGGAGGCAACATGCTGATGACTGCGCAAGCACCACTCGCCGAAGGAGCACGCCCGACAGGTCGACCGACTACCACTGTGGCTTACAGCTGCAACTGCTCTTCTGACTCTCGCCGAGGTGGATCGCGCACACGGACGGCGTCCACCAGGCGTGCGGCCTGGCAGAAGTACCGCGACCGGCGCGCGCGCGTCGCTACACGCCCGGGGAGAACGCCGTGGGGTTCGCCGGCCGTCGCGAGGAAGAAGAAGGCGGCGGGTGGTGAGGCGGTGAGCGGCGGCGGCGGGGCGCAGGCGCGCGTCGGCCGGCGCGTCGGCGTTCGTCGCGTGCCGCGCCGACGGCTGCGACCTCATCTTCAACGGTCGCGAGAAGCTCGCGACCACGTGCTCGCCTACCACGCGCGCGCCGCCGCGCCGCCACGACGTGCCCTGCTGTGCGACGACGCGACGGGCGGCGGCGGCGGCGACGACGGTGGCGCCCTCGCGGCGCACGTCCGCCGCCGCCACGCGCCGCCGTGCGAGTCGCCGCGCCACGACTGCCAGCGGCGTGTTCGAGGACTACGCGCAGCTGCGGCAGCACCACGAGCAGGCGCACGCGCCACCGCTGCGGCATGTGCGAGGCGGACTGCGCCGCGAGGTGGCGCTAGCGGCGACTGGCATTCGCCGGACAC